AAACCCTAAACCCTAAACCCTTAGACGAGTGAAACCCTAAACCCCTAAACCCCTAAACCCTTAACCTAAACCCTTAGACGAGTGAAACCCTAAACCCCTAAACCCTTAAACCCTAAACCTAAACCCTTAGACGAGTGAAACCCTAAACCCCTAAACCCCTAAACCCTTAACCTAAAGCCTTAGACGAGTGAAACCCTAAACCCCTAAACATTTCACCCTTAACCTAAACCCTTAGACGAGTGAAACCCTAAAAGGTGCTGCTCCTCTACACCCTTTATAATCCCTTTATAACCCCTATATAACCCATTATAGTAGTTTCCATTAACACCTTTTTCTATCTACTTAAAGGGGGATGAAAAGCCCTACAAGGTGCTGCTCCTCTACACCTAAACCCTAAACCCTAAACCCTAAACCCTAGACCCTAAACCCTAAACCCTAAAAGGTGCTGCTCCTCTACACCCTGGCAATCTCACCCAAGCTCGTAGAGGAGATGAGGCTGAGACTTCTTACCGTCTGATCTCGGGACGGTCCGTTTCTTGGGGGTGGCTCATTGGTTTTGTAGGCTTTTAGGGTTTTAGGGTTTTAGGGTTTAGGGTGTAAGTTTGGAGTGCTTCTAAATTCTCTCACTTTTGGGGTGATAAGGTCGAAGGGCTTATGCCTTGGAGATGTGAAGGCTTCTGTTATAACTTATAACCCGGAAGCAGGAACGAGGATCTCCGTGCAAACTCCATACATTTCTAGCCCTGAGCACCTTTATATGCTTACTGAGTACTTGAACCCTTATGGTAAGGTCCTTCACAAGGTACCGGAGTTTTGCGGTATCCCATATGCCGCCTGAAGCAGATTTGAACTGTTTCGTGCTTTGGGATTCCCCAACACAGCTTTGGGTTCAGGTTCAGGACTAAGGTCAGGGACTTGGCCAAGGGTTGTAGTCTTACTTGGTGACGTAGTAGAAGGACCGCAAATTCCGAAAATGCTCCAGGAAGAATTTCTGAACCCTATTCAATCCCTATATAGCCCCATACAATCCTTACATACCCCAATATGAACCTGTAAACCCTGTATAATTCTTCTATAACCCCAATAAAATCACATCACGGAGCTCCTTTTGCAAGCAGTTGGGCCACCCTACACCCTAAACCCGAAACCCAAGACCTTTTGCAGGGAGTTGGGCCTGCTTGGCATCCTCATCAAGCTGCGATACTCGCCGCTGAGCTCCCTGGACCTTTGGCTTTTCAGAGGTTTAGGGTTTGGGGTTGAGGGTTTAGGTTTAAGGGTTCAGGGTTTTGGGGGATGCATAGGGATATAAAGGGGAATGTAGGTGAAATGGAAAAGAGAAAGGAAGCTACTGTTTAGGGTTTAGGTTTCAGGAAAGGCCCATCGAGTCTAGGGTTCGGCTTGGGGTTGAGCATTCCGGATGTCATTATGAATCTAAACCCACAACCCTATCAATCGTACACTAAACCCCCTGAACCCTAAACCCTAGACCCTAAACCCTAAACCTATGCCAATATTATTTGGGCTCCTACGTTGCCCAAAGGATTCAAGCATAGACGCTGCAGAATCCCGAGCAGGAAGCCTGGAATAGGATGAAGGGTTCAGGGTTCAGGGTTTAGGGTTCTGGGTCTAAGGGGTTGTTGGGTTTGGGGTTTTAGGGTTCAGAGTTTTAGAGTTTAGGGTTTAGGGTTCAGGGTTTAGGGTTCAGGGTCTAGGGTTGAGTTTAGGGTACAGGGTTTACGGTTCAGGGTTTGGGGGTGTTTAGGGTCTAAATAGTAACTAATATTTTTGTGCTATATTCCTTTTAGCCCTAGACCCCATGTATTTGTATAGCCCCTTTAAAGGGGCTTCTACCCTTACGCAGGATGCCATACGAGAGCGGCTGTCCGTGCTGTGGGATCTGGTCAATGGTCCCATTCTTGGTCTTTTGCTGGTGGTTTCTACTTGGAGAGTCAGGGGGATTTAGTAAGTATACTTATGACCCCTATAGGCTATATAGTAACCCCAGTTAGCCCCATTATTAACCTACTTACTAAGTCCCCTGACCCTCCAGAGTAGGGATGAAGGAAGGGAAAATGAGATGGAAACTACTTTGGGGTTTCGGGTTGAACATGGAAACTACTTTGGGTTTAGGGTTTAGTCTGGAGTTCATAAGGACATCATGTTCATCCCTAGTCTTGTCTCATGAACGATTTACTTCCTTTTTTCCGAGCGATGAGGGTTGGTTTTTTTTTGTCTTAGGGTTTCCTTGCTTTCAATTGGCAGCCTGTAGTTTGGACTTCTTGACGTAATCCCTAGTGCGCAACTGGACTCCCAAATACCTTTGTGAACCCTGCCTATCCCCGAGGTCCCCTAGAACTGGGTTCAGAGTGGTTTCCGAACAATCTGAATGGTAATGCCTTAAACCCTAAACCCTAAAACCTAAACCCCAAACCCTAAACCCTAAACCCTAAACCCTGAACCCTAAACCCTATCCTGCAACTACCCTATTAGGCTTCCCAATGAACCATCAATGGTGGACGCAGGGGTCCCTTCGGTGGTTTAGTATAGTCCCTAAGATGTTCCCTGATAAGGGCCCAGGTCCACTATAGGGTTTAGGGTTTAGGGTTTGGGGTTTAGGGCTTAGGGTTTAGGGCCCAGGTCCACTAACTGCATGCGGAAATATTGTACAGTAGCTCCTATGAAGCACTCGACTTGTACATCGTAAGGGCGACAACGGTAATAACCACCGCAACATCAGAATCATAATTGCTTTGTCAAAACTAAGGAGCGTCAATGTCGTTCTTGCTCATATCGAAGTTGCACTTTCATTTGTACGGCGGCCGTAGAAACCGTGACAACAGTTCCCTGCAATAGTCGTTGTAGTTGACCATTACGATTGTAACTGTTCAGGGCGCATCAATGATGATTGTTATGAGGTGCCTGGAGGTGTAGGGAGGAGCGTGTAAGAGGCTGCATTGGCCAAGGGATGATCAAATGAGGGCTAGATAGGACCAATAAATGAGGGTATTTACCCTGAACCATGAAGACCTCTTACACCCACCTGGGTCCCCATGAAACAGCTGCCCCAAGGCGGCTCCGATTCGCCTGATGGTCAGATGGCCCGCCGTACAACCACGACAATCTGAGAGGGTTCTGCAGGGCATGGGGTCAGGGATGTAGAGGTTTCGGGCCCCAGAATAGACTCCAATATATTATAATCCTTATTATGGGGATCCCTAAAAGGGTACCCCTAATTTGGGGGAATTCCGAGTTTAGATGATTGCGAGGCTGAGGGTGAAGGGCTAAGACCTAGGGGTGCAGGAACCTGTGTGCGACTGGCACATGTTGTCAAAAGTAGATGGGTTTCCCAACATTAGGGGTTATATAGGGATTATATATGGGTATATGGGGTTTAGGGTTTCCCAAAATTAGGTGTACTTTTTTTTGGGGGGGGTCTCCATAGTAAGGATGATAGTATTTTGGGGCCTATATTAGGGTCCCAGTCCTTTGGAAACTACCCATGAGTACCTTCGCAGACAATACATCGAATTCCCCAAAAAGTTCTGTGAAGACAACGATCCTTTCAAAAGAGGTCTACATTGGGTTGCACGTTGGTTTACGGGAAGGTGTATATATGTGTATATATAGATATACGTACATGTATACGGGTGTTTCCCAAAAAGGCTGCCATTATGCTGCATTGCAAGGAACCGCAGAATCCAGTTTGCTCCCCATGGATTTCCAGAGGACCTTTAGGTAACCCCGTGTAAAGAGGAGCCCCCATATCGGAATTGTAAAATGAAAGTGGATATGTACGTATAGCTATGGAGATGAAGGGACATGAGGTTACGGTGTGGGTCTGAGTAGTTCCACTTCGAGTCCTAATCGTACTGAGGGTTTGTAGGGAATACGGCGTTATGTAGGTATTAGACTCCCTTTCTCCCTACTAACAACCAATAGGTAATGTGAGTTCTCGGTTAGAGTTGATGACTGTGCCCAGCCTCAGATCTCGGGCTACCACTGACCTGAGCAGTAGGACAGATAAACATATTACTCAGGGTTTAGGTTTAGGGATATTCCTACAGTAATGTATTCTAGTATACCACAATGGGAGTGGGTACGTGCCGTGTGTCTGCTTGTTGTGGAGTACTGCAAACGTAGCAACCGAAGGAACGACAGCCGGGCAGGAACCCTAAACCCTAAACCTTAAACCCTAAACCCTGAACCCTAAACCCTAAACTCTACACCCTAAACCCTAAACCCTAAACCCGAAACCCTAAACCCGAAACCCTAAACCCTAGCCTCTGGGTCAGACCTGTTGACCTTGCTGAGGGCCTGTCTTTTCCGCCCTAAACCCTAAACCCACGGTTGCGGAAGAACACTTTGACTGACCATACCTCCTCGTTTCAGACTTAAAAAGAAAGATTTGCTTTGGGACCTCGTCTAGTTGTCTGGGGACAATAGCGATTTAGTTGCTGTAATTGAAGGACATGAGGGAGCCATACTGCTTCGCAAGGCAAGGTTTGTGACGTAGCGCGTTAATCCTTGTTCTTCTTACCTTCATTGTAATGGTTAGTGTCATCCTACTGTTACTATGAAGGCGTTCTTTGGATTCTTTTGCGGCAGAAACTGTTTGTTGCTTTTGTTTACTGGGCTCACATATTAAGGGCCGTGGAGATCAATCGGGTCCTGGTCTGGGCTCAGAATGTTGGACCATGGTTGATGTGAACCAGTCTCATGAAGCCTTACTTGCGGGTCTATAGTCCCCCTTACGTAGATAGAATATGGCTTTGGGTATATTAGAATACGATACCCATATACCCTATATTCTATCAACTTAATGGAGACTGTTTATTATCTTGCTTGGAGCTGGAGAGCTGTATGGACTTTGCAAGAGGTTCCTGCCATCTTTGCCGCAGCTTCATCTGTGCTTTCCACGAAGGTGCTGCACACATCTGTCCGGCTGTGCTAAAACGCTAACGACTCCCCAGCAAAGACTGTGGCCTGCCGTTGCTTCTACCCGCATGCTCGCAAAAGACTTGCGCAGCGGGTGGAGACAGCGAAGACAACCAGCGTGCTTCAAAAGGTCTAGCAGTTTCCGTTTTCTTTTCCATTATCCCTATATAACCTTATATATATATACCCCCTATAAACAGCCTTTAAGCCCCCATATGATACTATAAACCCTAAGCCTTCTATAACCTTCTATATCCCTTTGAAAGGACCTAGCATTGCGTTTGTTACGTGAGGATTGATCCAACGCGTGTTGATATGTAATCCCTTACTGCCTCGATCTTTCGAGACACGTGGCTATTGTTCAGAAGATCTGCCCAAAAAGCTGGCGTACATCAGAGTCCCCTTTGTCTAAGATACACTTTTAAGGAGGAGGTGTCACTGAAGCAATCTTCCCCGCAAGGACCTTCAGAACAAGCCTCATGAAGTTCTGAAGTCTACGCAAACTTTGGGACCCGTGCATTCAGCATGCAAAGCCGCATGTCTGCTCTGTACCTCATTACTAGCCCCCCACATGCCCACAAATGGGCAAACCATCCAAAGCCCCGAAGTCCTAGACTCTAAGCAAAGAATGTGTGGATATGTCCTTAGTCTGGCATGTGGCTATCTCTCATTTTTTGGCACCCGATAAACCCGACAGAACAGTGCAACGCATGGACAAAGTCTTGGACTACTTAGCCCAAAGTGCTGTAATGACTAGGGTCTATGAGGTGGTAAGGGTTGGTTTGAGCATCTTTCTTGTGAAATTCACACGGGGGCCGCTGTAGGGCACGGCTACCCAAAACATCTTAGTTGAGTCATAGCAATATGGTAGTTGCCCTAAATAGGGGGATCCCAATATAGACCCCAATATAGACCCCAAATGACCCCAATATACTATAATCCTCATTATGTGGATCCCGAAAAGGTACTCCCAATTTTAGCAAAGCCCCGTATATCTAACGTGCTGCAGCCAGACGGTCCCATGCCTTTCCGCGATCTTGTTTCCCTAAGTCAATGAAGAATAGGTATATTGGTAAAGGCTCCTTTCCAGCGACATACATCTAATCATCTAGCGGGTAGCGAAGGATAGGGCGAATGAGAACGACCTTGCCCAACCTCCCCCCAGATTTAAACAGGAAATGATCCCCAAGAAGGTCTTGTTTCAACAGGAAGCAGGCGGAAATGATACCCCCGCCTGTTCAGGGTGCCGACTCTTGGACCAGTGCTTCCTGTTTTCCGCATGATTTC